AATATATATATATATATATATATATATGCCCTTAGTGACTCTTTTATACAGTGTATATAGGGAATTGTTCATGCAACTTGCATGCATGCATGCATGCATGCAATTTGCATGCATTTTGCATACAACTTGCATGCATTAATTAAAGACTATGTAGCGCATCTACCAAGTGCTGCTGCTGCTGCTGCTGCTGCTGCTTCTGTTGCTGCTAATTGCTGCTAGGTATTACTGCTGTTGCTAGTTGCTGCTGCTGCTGCTAGCTGCTGCTGCGGGGAGGAGTTCGACAAAGAAGTTAGCTAGCCGCTGCATGCTCGCATGCAGCAGCTGTGTGCTGCTAGCTGCAGCAGCAGCGTATAGCTAGCTTCAGCAAGTGCAGCAGGAGGGCAGCTGCATGCATGCCATAGATGGTGCTGCATGCAACCAGACAAGTGCTATGCTATGCCCGCCAAACCCTTGGCTAAGAATACCGCAAACACTAAACCCTAAACCCTAAAACCCTAAACCCTAAACCCTAAAAAACCAGTTAGGGTTTATTAGAAACATTATTCATCAACCTTATTTATTTTCTTTTTCTTTTTCTTTTTTTCTTGCGGTGTATTGAACTATAGAGACAAACGCATAAACAACTCTTGCTAGACGGCTAAACCCTAAACCCTAAACCCTAAAACCCTAAACCCTAAACCCCAAAACCCTAAACACTAAACACTAAACAATAAATAACAATATGCATAGTATAAACCCTAAACACAAGAGGCATTTTGCTTGCCTGCTGCTGCTAGCAGCGACACACAAATAACAGCCGCTGTTAATATATGGAGGGCAGGGAGCGGTCATCTCCAAACCCTAAACCCTAAACCCTAAACCCCAAACCCTAAACCCTAAACCCTAATTAAATGTATAATTTGTTAATTAAGACTCAACAAATATAATTTAATGGGAATATGTGTTGTCCCAGTTGGCAGTTCGTCTCAGGGTTTGATGCAAAGTGGCTTCTTATATCGACTGCTAAACCCTAAACCCTAAACCCTAAACCCTAAACCCTAAACCCTCAGCACTAGTTCTGCTAGCCGCTTGCTTTACAGCAGCATAATTTGGAGTATTTTCTACATTTTAAGTTTTATGATGTCTCCTCTAATTAACTTATATTGCCGCCGCTCCATCTGCTGCTGCTGCTGCTGCTGCTGCTGTTGTTGTCTATCTAAACTGCAGCAGGAAGGTTATAGGGCGTAAGGAATTCTCTCCGCAGCAGCAGCAGCAAACAGCAGCAGCACTTTAATAGTTTATTTGCTCTCAGGAGACCAACCAGTGACTCCTGCTCGGTCATGTCTGCTGCAGCTGCTGCTTGACAGCAGCAGCAGCAGCAGCAGCAGCAGCAGCGGCAGAGCGGTCGGCAGCAGCAGTAGCAGCACCAGCGGCAGCAACAACACCTCCACTACTGTCGCCAATGGTAGCTGCAGCGGAGGCTCCAGAATCCAGCAGCAGCGGCAACTCCTGGCTGCTGCTGCAACAGCAGTCAATGCAGCAGCAGCAGCAGCAGCAGCCATCTGCACAGCAGCAGCAGCAGCAGCAGCAGCCAACAACGCCGCTGCAGCAGCACCATCCAACAACACAGCAGCAGCAGCTGTCAACAGAACAGCAACTGGAGCAGCAGACACCACCACAACAACCAGACCACCAGCAGCCAGGACCACAGCAGCAGCAGCAGCATGACGGAGTGGACAGCAGCAGCAGCAGCAGCAACAGCAGCAGCAGCAGCAGCGAGTACCCTGTCCGTTTCCCTTCAGACCAGAGTTCAATCACAACATCGCCCCGCGGGTCTACAGAGAAGAGTGTGTGGCAGCAGCAGCAGAAGCAGCAGCAACAGCAGCAGCAAAAGCAGCAGCAGCAGCACCGACGCCAGCCGGAGCGTGAGGCAACTGCAGCAGCAGCAGCAGCAGTTGCACCAAGTGCGGCAGCAACAGCAGCAGCAGATGTACAGCAGCAAGCATTCGCTCCCGTCCCTTCTTTCCCCTCCTCACCTCGCCTGCATGCCGCCAAAACCCCTGTACAGCAGCAGCAGCAGCAGCAACGGGAGGAAGAGGAGCAGCAGCAGCAGCAGCAGGTGGCGCAGTACGAGGCATCAGTATCCTTAGTAAGTGTTTGCTGTCTCCCTTTTTCCCTTTCTGCTGTCTCCATTGTAGTTCTATTAGCAGCAGCAGCAGCAGCAGCAGCAGCAGCAGCAACTTGTGCTGTGCTTCGATGCTGTGTGTAGGGGGAGGAGGCAATAGAAGAGGAGCAGCAGCAGCTGCCGACCTCTGCAGCAACTAACAGCAGTGACAGCAGCAGCGGCAGCAGCAGCAGCAAAAGTAGTAGTAGTACTAGTAATAATAGTAATAGTAGCAATAGTAGCGTGGTCAGCACGGTTAACAGCAGCAGCAGCAGCAGCAACAGCAGCAGCAGCAGCAGCAGCAGCAGCGGGGAAGCAGGGAAGTCTAGCCCTTACTCCGCGCCTCACCCGTTTATTTTATCCTTTACCTTTCCCCGCAGCGACACAGAGCAGCAGCAGCAGCAGCAGCGGCAGCAGCAGCGGCAGCGGCAGAGGCGTAGCCCCTTCTGGGCCCCTTCTGCTGCACCAACTGCTGCTGCTCCTCCTGCAGCAGCAGCAGCAGCAGCAACTGCTGCTGCTGCTGTCTTTCCCCGCAGGCAGCGCTCTACCAGCTTAGAGGCCCCTAGTAGGCATACGTGGCGGACCCCACGGCAGCAGCAGCAGCAGCAGCGGCAGCAGCAGCAGCAGCAGTGGACTCAATGGATGCCGCCTCTGCCTCCCGCTGTCCCTTTCCCTGGCAGCAAATGCGCATTTACCGCTTCTCCTTTTAGCAGCAGCAGCAGCAGCAGCAGAAGCAGCAGCAGCAGAAGCAGCAGCAGGAGCAAAAGCAGCAGCAAGAGCACAGGAGTCCTGCAGCGGGGGCATGAGCCCTTTGCTGCTGCCTCTACGGTGTCATCGCGAGAAAGAGAAGCAGCAGCAGAAGCAGCAGCAGCAGCAGCAGCAGAAGCAGCAGCAGCAGCAGCAAGTGAAAGGCATTGGGAAGAGGAACAGCAGGAGCAGCAAGAGCAACAGCAGCAACATCAACAGCAGCAACAGCTGCAAAAACAGCAGCAACAGCATTCGCAGTGGGAGCGAGTGGAGGGGGACGCCTCACCAGCAGCAAGAGCAGCAGCAGCAGCAGCAGCAGCAGCTGCTGCTGCTGCTGCAACAGCAGCAGAGACGTCTGCACCCTCAGGGGATGCTTTGTATTACAACAGAAGCCGTTTACTGCCAAAGGCCGACGACGCAGCAGCAGCAGCTGCTGCTGCTGCTGCTTCTGCTGCGGTGTATGAGGACAACAACAGCAGCAGAGATCTATCTCCTCGACAAGGAGATGCTGCTTCTGCTGTGCAGCAGCATGCACAACTCAGCAGCAGCAGCAGCAGCAGCGGCAGAAGCAGCAGCAGAGATGCTCCCGTGATGGATATTAACTGGAGGATGCCCGACACTTCAGCAGCAGCAGCAGCAGCAGCAGCACCAGCAGCAATAGCAACAGCTCCTTCTTCTGCTGCTGCATCGCTGCATGCAGGAGACGAAACACCAGACGCGGATGAGCATCAGCAGCAGCAGCAGCAGCGGAAGCAGCAACAGCTGCAGAAGCAGCGGGAGCAGCATTGGTGGAACTTCAGTTCAGGAGCAGCAGAGACAGCAACTAGTACTGTCTGTACACCGGAGGCTGCTGCTGCTGCTGCTGCAGCAGCAGCAGCAGCAAGGGTTTCGCTATCTGCGCAGCAGCTGCTGCTGTCGGGGGACCTGTCTCCTCCGCATGCATGTGGGGAGTATTTGCTGCAGCATCCGCAGCAGCAAGCAAGTACTGCAGCAGCAGCAGCAGCAGCAACAGCAACGGATACTGCAGAGCTGCAGCTTTTGCTGCAGCAGCTCGAGCAGCAGATCCCGCCGGAGAAGCTGCTACCTCACCTGTTGCTGTGGTATCGAGACACCAGCAGCAGCAGCAGCAGCAGCAGCAGCGGCAGCAGCAGCGGCAGCAGCAATTTGCTGCGACTGACTGAGGGGGACCGCGTGTCCCGGGACAACAGCGAGCAGCCAGCAGCAGCAGCAGCAGCAACTGCAGCAACTGCAGCAGGAGGAGCAAGCATGCAAGCATTTTCCGAGTCAGCAGCATCAGCATCAGCAGCAGCAGCAGCATCTGCTGCTGCTGCTGCAGTAGGTGATTTGCTGCTGGTATCTATAGGGCGGTGTGCAGCAAAGATGTCTCCTGCTGCTGTTAAGGTGTCTCTTTTTGCTGCTCTTTCTTCTCTCTTCCCTCTGCAGCAGCAAATAAAAGAAAAAGAAGATAAAATTATTCGCTTCTTTGCTGCAGTAATTAAATGCATGCAGCAGCAAATATACCCGCAGGAACATACCAGCAGCAGCAGCAGCAGCAGCAGCAGCAGCAGCGGCATAGCAACACCAGCAACAGACTCAGCAGCATCTCTTTCCCCCCGTGAAGAAACAGCAGCAGCAGCAACAACAGCAGCAACAGGAGCAAGAGCAACAGCAGCAACAACAGCAACAGCAGCAGCAGCAGCAGCAGCAAGAGAGAGGTGTGCTGCATGCATAATGGGGCTTGAAGACTATCTATCCTTATACTTTAATCGTCCTCTCCCTCTGCTGCTGCCTTCTTATCTTCGCTCGCAGCTGCTGCTGCTGTGGCATGCATTTGCTGCTGCTGCTGCTGCTGCAGCAAACCCTCAGATACGCATCGCCTGTATCCTTAACTGGCTTGCTGCACCTGACCTAGTAAAAACCCTAAACCCTAAACCCTAAACCCTAATATACAAACCCTAAACCCTAAACCCTAAACCCTAAGATACAAACCCTAAACCCTTCAATGCCAGCCACAAGCCCTAAACCCTAAGAACGCAAACCCTAAACCCTAAATGGCAATTTCTATGTGCATGCATTTGCTGCTGTTGCTGCTGTTGCTGCAGCCTCCTTGGGACAAGCCGTTGCTGCAGAGTCTGGTTCCTGAAGCTGCTGCTGCTTCTGGACCTGCTGCGTATGCTGCAGCTGCTGTTGCTGCTGCACTGCATCAGCTGCAGCAGCGCCGCAGCTGCTGCTCATTAAGTGTCTTTGTTTGCCTACAAGGACTTAATGATGCTGCTGCTGTTGCTGCACTGCGGAGTGTCCTTCTTGCTTCAGGGTGAGCAGCAACAGCAGCAGCAGCAGCACTAGAAACAGCAGCAGCAGCAGCTGCTGCTGCTGCTGCTGCACCTCCCTTCGCTCTTAGTTTTTATTAAGTCAATACTGCGGCTGTCTGCTGTGCTGCCTACAACGTGGCTTGCTGCTGCACCTGCTGCTGCTGCTGCTGCTGTGTCTCCCTTTGTGCGCAGGGTTACGAGGGGACAATTCTTGACGATATTTTTGCTGTTATGGCTAGCCTCTCTTAGAGCCATTTTAGACAGCAGCAGCAGCAGCAGCAAGAGGAGCAGCAGCAAGAGCAGCAACAGCAGCAGACGCAGCGGCCCGCCTGGCCTTGCTGGATGTTTGCTGCTGCTGCGCTGTTTGCTGCAGGTTGCTTCGGAGGGTGTAGACCCTGCTGCTGCTGGCGCTATTAACGACCAGCAGCAGCAACCGCAGCAGCAGCAACCGCAGCAGCAGCAGCAGGAGTTGCTAAAGGGAGGCGATCTTGCCTTAACAGAGAGCTGCTTGCGTGCTGCTGCAGCAACTCTTGCCACCTGCAGGGACACTTGCGGTGCAGGAGCTTGGCTGCTGCTGCTGCTGCTCTTTGAAAGACCGCAGCAGCAGCAGCAGCAGCAGCTAAGCCCATTGGTGTTGCGGGGGTTGCAGGGGCTACTACCATTTCTACAGCGCTGCAGCAAAGCGGTTGCTGCAGCAGCAGGAGGATATTTGTCTCCTAATGCTGTTGCTAATGTCTGCTGCAAACAGGAGACAGCAGCAAGCGAACAGGCCTCTGCCGTCGGTCTCCCGCAGCAGCAGCAGCAGCAGCAGCTGTTGCTGCCTGTGCCTCCCTACAGGTTTTTGTCTTCAAGCTCTTCAGACAAGGAAGCAGCAGCCAGGGAGGGAGCAGCGGATGCTGCTGCTGCTGCTGCTGGAGGGGAGGGGGAACTGTGGGGAACCTCGCAACTGCTGCAGCTGTTGCTGCTGCGGGTCCAGAGGGCTCTGCAACAGCAGCAAAAGCGCAGCAGCAGGGAGGATAACGAAGAGGAGAAGCAGCAGGAGCTGCAAAAGCAGCTGCAGCCGCTGGTTCTGCTGCCACCGCATGCAAATTGCAGGTCTGCTGCTGCTGCTGCTACTGGCTGCATTCCAGTCTATCGGCAGCCCGTTGCAGCTGCTGAAGACTGCAGCAGACAAGCAGCAGCAACAGCAGCAGCAACAGCAGCAGCAGATGCAATATGGATGCCTTACCGCCCCCCTGCTGCAAGACACAGCGAGGAGGAGGAGCAGATCCTCTACCAGCAGCAGCAGCAGCAACGGCGGGTCGGGGACTGTTCGGTGCTGCTGCGGGGCAGCAACAGCAGAGGCTGTAGCAGCAGCAGCAGCAACAACGGCAGCAGAAGCAGCAGAAGGCGGCCGCTTTCCTATGCTGTGCAGCAGCATGCAGGAGACGTGGCTCCTTTTGTGGGGCTTCCTATCGACGCAGACCCTTTTGCTGCTGCTGCTGCTGCTGCTGGTAACAAGGTGCAACAACAACAACAACAGGAGCAGCAGCAGCAGCAGCAAGTGTGCTGGGCTCCCCGCAGCGGTGTCAGGAAGGACTCTGCAGCAGCAAGCGAAGCCTCGGATGCAGGCAGCACGTCAACCGCAAAGCAGCAGCAGCAGCAGCAACAGCAGCAGCAACAACAACCGGGTTGGGGCCCACCCGTCAGTGGACCAGGAACAGCAGCAACAGCAGCAACACATGCAGCAGCAAGTAGCAGCAGAACAAGATCAGATGCAGCAGCAACACCAGAAGCTCTTTCCTTCCTTCCCCTCAACAGGTTTGCTATGGCGGCGCTGCAGCGGCCCCACACTCAGCAGCAGCAGCAGCAGCAAGATGCGTCCTGGGGCAGCAACAACAGCGCAGCAGCAGCAGGTAGAGGGAGCCCTTTGTTGCAGGTGGGGCATCTTTCGCATCCTCCAGCAAGCAGGAACAGTAGCAGCAGCAGCAGCAGCAACACCCCACCAAGAGCAGGTGCAGCAGCAGCAGCAGCAGCAGCAGATGCATTGCTGCTAGGTGGTCGCTGTCTACATAAGGGAGGAGGCAGCAAAATAAGGTTAACCCCAGGGGCCCCCGCAGAAGGCCCCCAAGGTGTATCTGCAGGGGCCCCGCAAGGGGCCCCCTCCAGTGGCATAACGCGGTGCCCTCCGGGGGGCCCCTCTAGGGGCCCCCCCACCCCACCAGGAAGGGACACCACACGGGGATCCCCCACAGGTGGGGCCCCTTCAGGAGGGGCTCCCACAGGGGAGGGCCCCTTGGGGGGCCCCACAGGGGCCCCTGCAGGGTCCGCTCGCGAGAGTATTGAGAAGGTTTGGAGGAGAGAAGGATTTTCTCCTCATCTGCATAAGAGGATACTGCTGCTGCTGGATAGACACAGGAGGAAGAGCAGCAGCAGCAGCAGCAGGAAGCAGAAAGGAGGAGGAGAGGCAGCACAGCAGCAAGGAAAAGAAGAGCAGCAGCAAGGATTGCAGCAGCTACAAGAACAGGTGCAGCAACTGCAGCAACAACTGCAGCAGCAGCAACTTGAACAAAAGCATATAAAAAGGGGAATACTGCAGCAGCAGCAGCGCATGCAGGATAAACGAGACGCCACTGCTGCTGCTGCTGCTGCTGCTGCTGCTGCTTTATCTGCTGCAGCAAAAACCAAAAAGTCAACGCGAGCAGCAACACAATCACTACCATCAGCAGCAACTGCAGCAGCAGCAACAGCAGCAGCAGCACGAAGCTTGCGCAAGAAGGTCTTTCCTTTAGGGGGAGACAGTAAAGGAGATAGAGGAGGGGATGCAGCAAAAACAGCAGCAGCAGCAGCAGCAGCGGAAAGATCATCACTGGACAACGGTGTGCTGCCTGCTGCTTCTTCTGCTGCAGCTGCTGCTGCAACGCGCTTCCAGCAGCAGCAGCAGCAGCAGCAGCAGCAAGCCGCTACTTGGCAGCCCCCTGAGATAGGAGGGGAGCATCACGTATTGTATGCTGGGGTGTCTGCGCACCCTGCAGGCAGCAGCAGCTGGAGCAGCAGCAGCAGCAAGAGCAACAACAACAACAACAACAACAACAGCAGCAGCAGCAGCAGCAAACCGGCATACAGAGGATCAGCAGCAGAAGCAGCTCCTCTGCAGCATCACCAATGGTCTTCTTTCCCTCAGCAGCAGGTGCAGCTTCAGCTGCAGCAGCAGCAGCAGCAACTGCAGCAGGAGCAGCAGCAGCAACTGGTGCAGCAATCTTTAGCAGGATGGGGGGCCTTCCCTTGCAGCAATGCATACGGCAACAGCACAGTAGCAGCAGCAGCAGCATGGGCCCCTTCTGCTGCTGCTGCTGGTGGTGTTCCTGCTGCAGTGCAGCAGCAGCATGCGGGTGCATATATTCCACAGGAATATCTGCAGCAGCAGCAGCAGCAGCAGCTAATGACTGCATGCGGTCCCCTGTCTATGAACTATGAATATTCTATGGGTGGTGGTCTACAGCAGCAGCAGCTGTTGCTGCAGCATCAGCAGCAGCAGCAGCTGTTACTGCAGCAACAGCAGCAGTTGTCTCTGATGCACCACCAGCAGCAGCAGCAGCAGCAGCAGTCTGTATTTCCGTTGCAATTGGAGGGAAGCTTTGATGAATCTGCATGCGTTGAGGTGTATCTACACCACCCTATTAGCCGCAGCAGACGTCATCACCACCACCACCATCAGCAGCAGCAGCAGCAGCAGCAGCAGCAGCAGCATATGCCAGTAGGATTAAATAATGTAGGTAATAGCTGTTATCTAAATAGTTTGCTGCAGGCGCTTTTTTTATGTGATTGTTTTGTTGCTAATTTATTTAGATTTAAATTACCTGCTGCTGCTCCCTCTAGCAGCAGCAGCAGCAGCAACAGCAACAGCAGCAGCAGCAGCAGCAGCAGCAGCAGCAGTGGTAGTGCAGCATTATTGCATGCATTACAGTGTCTCTTTACTGAGCTAGCTGTATCCAAGTGCAGCAGCGCGGATCCTTCTTGTGTTATTAATGCCCTGCCTGCTGCCTATCAGCAGCAGCAGCAGCAAGATGCTAATGAGGCCCTGCACTGTCTCTTTGATCTATTAGGGGGACACAACGAGCTGCTGCTGCTGCTGCTGTTTGCTGGTGTAGTGCAGCAAGGGATACAGTGTCTCTCTTGTGGTAAACAAAGTATAAGAGAGGAGACAGTTAGTGGTTTCTCGTTCCCTCTACCTTCTGCTGACAGCAGCAGCAGCAGCAGCAACAGCAGCAGCAGCAGCAGCAGCAGCAACAGCAGCAGCAGCTGCAGCGGCAATAGTATGTATAACAACTATAGTAGTAATAGCAGCAGGACAAGAAGGATGACAAGATGGAGAAGAAGTTATAACAATAACAGCAGCAGCAGAAGCAGCAGCAACAGCAGCAGAAGCAGCAGCATTAGCAGCAGCAGCAACAACAACAGCATCCGAAGCAGCATCAGCAGCATTAGCAGCAGCAGCAGCAGCAGCAGTAGACATCGTCATAGAAGGTGGCCAAATACCCACACCAACCCCACCACCACCACCACCAACCCCACCACCAACCCCACCACCAACCCCACAACAACACAAGCCACCAGCAGCAGCAGCAGCAGCAGCAGCAGCAGCAGCAAGAGAGTGCTATCAGTACAGAGCTTATTTGATAGTTTAGTACAACGTGAGTTATTAAGAGGAGAGAATAGTTATGCATGCGATGGTTGCATGCAGAAACAAGAAGCAGAAAAATGGCAAGAAATAACCAGCCCCCCTGCACATATAATAATAACATTAAATAGATATAATTGGGATAAAAAGAGACAAAAAAGACAAAAAAATATACAACATGTATTTATTAATCATTTATTATTTATATGCGGATTTAAATATGAATTATTTGCTGCTGTATTGCATGCGGGTAATACAGCTAACTCTGGTCATTATTATTGTATAGGTAGACGATCTGAGGATCCCTACACGATCCCCAATACGATCCCAAATACACCCCACAACTCGATCCCAAATACGATCCCAACAACACCCCACAACACGATCCCCAACTCGATCCCAAATACGATCCCAACAACGATCCCAACAACACCCCACAACTCGATCCCAACAACGATCCCAACAACGATCCCAACAACACCTCACAACAACCCCACCATATTAAATAATAATACAAACATGAGCATGAGCAGGAGCAGGAGCAGCAGCAGCAGAAGAAGAAGAAGAAGGAGCAGCAAGAGCAGCAATAGAAGGAGGAGAAGAAGAAGAAGAGAATGGTATATATTTGATGATAGTATAGTACGTATAACAGAAGAAGACGCAATAAATAAAATAAGCAAAAATAAATATAAGGATGATGTACCTTATCTACTTTTTTATAGATGTATAGATGCACCTCCTTCTCCTCCTTGTTTATTACCTATTTATTTATATAAACAAATTAAGCATAAATTACATGGTGCAGCATATGCAGCACATACACCACATATTAATACAGCACCAGCAGCAGCAGCAGCAGCAGCAGCAGCAGCAGCAAATACAGCAGCAGCAGCAGCAAATACAGCACCAACTACTGATAGAATTCGCATTCATTAATCATACTCCTTCTTTATATACAACTTCTCCTGCTCCTGCTCCTGCTGCTCCTGCTGCTGCTGCTGTTCTTGTTTGCTGCTGAGCAGCATGCTACCATACCTGTTGTTCCTCCTGCTGCAGTTGCTGCTGCTGCTGCTGCTGCAGTTGCTGCTGCTCCTGCAGATAAGATGTGTTGCTGGTCTAAGCAGATGCCCCTTTTTAGACTTTATTTTGTGTTTATATATATATATATATTTATTCATTTATTTTTATTTATTCCTGTTTTTTTTATATATAATATATATATATATATATA